ATGCCATCTGGGCATTTCAGAAGTATGATACTATTTAATTAGAACCAGATAAAATTAGGTAAGAAATGAACACCAGCTATTATAATACTAGCTAATAAATATAATTTCACAGTATTCTGTAGATATCCCAAAGTGTTAATTATAACAGGAGCAGTTAAATTCTTTAGAGCAGTTAAATTCTTTGGCTATGAAAGCATAACAGTTTTTAATAGATGTATCACCTGGTAACCTTGAGCATTATTAAATATATGGAGACTGCAAGACATGGTAGAAGCAATGGAAAAGTCTGGCCAGACTGGGTAATTTGTTTTAGACCTATGGAGAAATCTATTAACCACTTCTTCTATAGACCAATTTGATTAGGAAGTAGGACAAGCTGTTCTTTCATTACTTACCAAAACCATACTGCACTTTCTATCAATTATTTGGCTGTCTGCAGCACATAGATTAGAATAAAGGCCTTTCTTAGTGTTTGTGAACATTGTGGATTGCTGATTAGTAATTAAAGTACTGAATGAAGAAAATTAGGCCAAAATTGAATGGGAATGAGAAAGTCTTAATTCTGTGATACAGATGTTAGAAACAGATTGTCTTGAGCAGCCCATTCAGTTAGTGACATTGTACATAACCATGGAGTGTTTGCCTCCCATGGAAAACTCAGGCCGAATGCCTTGGAGATGGTTTCCGCTCCCATGCCTTGTGATGTAGCTGTATGGGTATTAATTTAGTGAAATATCCTGTCTGCCAGGTGTGGGAACTAGCTGATTTTATTGTAATACCAGATCATTACTTAATTCATATGCAACAGAGTGCAGCACATGGAAAGCATTATAAATCTATTTACAATGTGGCTGGTCTGATGATAACATTGTATTAAATTCCCAGGTGAGGCAATTTAAGCAATTGCTTTGCCATGTGCACTCCTTGGAAATTAAATTCTCATATACGCTTTAGTAATAAACCAACTTCATTGTTATGCTTTTGCTAGTGGTGGGCTGTAGAATCCTCATTCTGGTTATGTATACCCTGTTTCACGTGTAGAAACATACAGGCGCGGGATCGCAGATCACAGTTCTTAATTAGTTTAAGCTAAGTTCATTCATTTGGTTTCTACAATAGTTTAGCAGTGCCTGTCCAGGAATATATTCAGTTCAGTTGGGAAATGTTAAGACTTGGGTCAAGTAGAGAGTTTTAAGCCAAATTGCCAGATAGAACTGAGCAAGGGTATCTGTTTGAACTTGGCTTTGAGAAAATCAGCCACTCAGTATGCAAAAGGTCTGTTCATATACCAAGTGAAAACTGCTTGGAATCTGAAATTCTCACTTTTATAACAAAGGACTCACTTTTGTCATCTGTTTAAAATAGCCATTGAAACAGTGCATCTAACATCCTAGGGATAACAATCGTTGTTAATGTCATTTTTTTTATAGTTCATATATAGTCTGTAGATTTTTCTCTCCAATTGTGTCTAGTTCACGTAAGTGTATAAGTTAAAAGGAGTAAGTTTTACACAAACACAACTAAAAGTGAGAAATGCTCTTGTATTGTATTTAACATTGGGTGTATGTGTGTGGCAAATAGTGTCAGTTGAAGCTTTTCCATCCTTATGGTACGGACCCCAAATTACAATAGATTACAAACTGCATAGAGCTTCTGTCTTCTCCAGAAGCTACATATAAAGCACCAGTAGACGGTGGTAACTGACAACTAAGACTAAAAATGTTGACAATTTCTTGATTTGCCTGGTTAGCTTATGTATAGAAGTCATTAACTATTTATAAAATGCATTATGAATTGGGTTCCTTCAAACTGTAGCTGAGTGTGTGACATTTGCAGCTCAAATCCTTATGCTTGCATTTGGCTAAAGTACAGATTTTATACAGTTGATAATAAAGCAAAATTATTTTAGTTAGTTTATCAAGATACAGGAGATGTTTCAGTTTCGTTAACTTCGAATCTTCCAAATTAAATTATGACATGCCACTTAGTAATGCAGAGTGAGGGTTTTAAAAGTTCCGTAAAAGGTGAAATAACTTATTGATTTTTAGAGGAAAATTATCCATAAAATAAGCAATTTGTCACTCAAAGGGATTTTCCTTTTTTGGTAACCAATTAGTTTAATGATGATCCTGCAGGCTAAATTATGGTTGATTACAATCAGCTTACTTAAAATTTCAAACCATAAAAAGTTAGGAGAAAATACCAATGTCAGGCATTTAAATATAATTCTTAATAAAACAAAGTCATGACACTTAAAATTTTTTGTAAAATGATACTCAAGTGTAAAGAGTTCAGTTTCCAGCATTGGTTGTATTGTTTTTATGAAGGACTATTTCTGATATTTGAAATGAGTTATCTTTTCATTCTTTAACAGAAGTCAGTCCTATCAGGGAACATTTTGTAAACTGAACCTATCATTTGCTTAATTACATCCAGAAAGCTATCCAAATGACCAGTTTTTACCATCCCAATGGTAAAGAATGACATTTACAGGGACCACCCTTCAACTGTGGATAAATTCTTATTTATCCTCTGTTGCTGAGCATGTACACTCTTAATTGCTGGTTTTCAAAAACAAGATGAGATATTTAGGGATACATGCTTGTAATTTTCTTCTTCTTTTGAAGTATAGTAAATCAAAATAAGAATATAATGTAATTGAACAATCTATGCCAGTTTGTTGGTATTTTGGTGAAAAAAAGGAAAAACAAAAACAATCTCCATATGATATTCTCACATACTGTGGAACGTTTTAGTCCCCCATAGTGATGAAATGAATAATTAAAAAGGCAGCTCTGATACCACAGCCTGTTTAAAGGTTCTCATTTCCTTTAATGCTGTAAAATACTTTGCTTAGCTAGTTTGAAACTACTGTAGTGGGAATCTCCACATGGGCAAAAGAAAGGTTTGGCTTGATCTAAATATTGTAGTAAGGCCATGGAGTATACTGTCCTTATAACTTAACATTTTTCAGTACAGTTCTGTATGAAGTTAATAGAAATAGCTAATTAATAGCAGCTTGAATAAATACAGTAAGAGTAGCAGACTTAATTAATACGCTGTTTGTGGTGGTAAGACATCGCGCGTGTTCACAGGTGAATGAATTGGGTCACTCCTGAATTGTTGAGACGCCTGATATAAATGCCATTACTGACATCAGGCTAATGACTTAGCTTTTCTACTTTGTCCTTTCTGCAATGTTATTGGTTTTATTTACCTACGTACAGACTTATTGCATTTGTCAAGGAATAAGATAAACATTTGTAGCAGGGAGCGCGACCTTGGGGTGCAGACTCAGGGTAGGGATGGTACGCCATCATCTCCTTTATACTGAAACATTTGCATTTTCTTTGTATCTTTTTCCTGAATGTCCAGGGGGTAATAAAATGGGGAGGAAATTTTGTGTGATAGAATGAGCACTGGGCTGTGAGTCAGGACCCCAGTTTAACCAAAGCTACCTTTAGAACTTCATGAGACTAGCTTTTTCTTTTTTCTAAAAATTAAAAGGGTATCTAGATTTATTTATTTTTATTTATACCCCATTCAGCCCTTTTCAACTGGGCTCTGCCATAGAGTTAAGCCCTAATGCCCTAAGGCTTCTCTGTTCTATGTAATAAATTAAATTCTCTTTCATGTACCATTCTTGGGAGAATTGAGAAAATAGTTACTGAAATAATTTTCTGTGTTTTGTGGTTCAGATAAGAACCCCAATTGAGAAAAGCTGCTACTTTAAAATGATTTAAAATCTATTGGTTTTTCTTCTCCAAAGTGTTTTTAAATTCTAATATGATTTCATGTTTAATATATTATGATCTCTATGTGGCAAAGCAGTGTTACTCATTCATTAGTTTGGAAATCTAATTAAAAATCTGTTGACTTCTGATCATAGAATATAGATAGTCCTTTTAAACTGCAATAACTTTTCTCATAACAGTTGGACAGGTAAGGAATTTTAAGTTCGAAACTGTAGACCCCAAGTGAGAAAAAGATTACCATTTTCCAACTGCCATTTTTAAAGCAGAAAAGGCAGCAAGTAGCCTATAAATCTGAATCTGGGTCTGAAATAGTGATGCCGAAGTAGCATCTAAGGACTGCACTCCAGCTTCACAACTAATCTCTGGAGCCTTTTAGCTTTTCCAAATGTGTACAATTCAGAGAGTTCATGAATTGCTTGCAGACATGTCCCTCTGACTTCACAGGTAAAGGTAGACTTCTTGTAAAACAAAACTTCACTGTGTGAAACACTGACTCATAGGCCACTTGTCTTTATTTACTGGGACTGTGAAAAGTTGACTCATAGCCTGCTTGCTTTTATTTATAAGGATTGAGACATTTAATTTGTATTACCAGGCACACACATGCATGCACACACGTACTCCCATACTTTTCCTTAGGCCATTATTTAGAGAGGACTTAGAGACATTTAAATTATTGTTTGGAAATGGGACAGGCTTTTAAGCTTCATATCTCTTTTTGGTTAGTAACATCACAAAAATGAAAAATAGATAGACAATTTTTCAGGCATTCCAGTGTATGTATGCATGCAGATATAATATTATCCTAGAATTAGAGAGTTTAAAAGACCTATATTGTAAAATCCATTTCCTGCCACAATATTAAAGAACACCATGTAGTCTTAATAACAATCTGGTGAGTTTTGCAGATATATAGCTATATAGCTGTATTTCCTTTAGTTTAGTGTTCTTATTTGAATTAACTGTATATGGGATAATATACCAGTTCTGATCCATTTTCAATATTAATGGAGTACTTATACACTGCAGAGTTTTCTTTCATTATTGGTATTTGAAAACCTTGTAATTTACATTCAGCTTCTCAAGTTCAAGAACTTTACACAACTTTGGTTTACAGATTTTAGCAAATAGGTTTCCATTAGGGGGCTCTCGAGGTTTGAGATGATCAGCCTTGCTACCAATAATGCTTCGAAGCCTTTACTTCCTAACGTTCATCTCACTCTCCCTTTTTGTTTTGTTTTATAGAAAAGGTCACGGATCGCCTACAGTGACGAAGTACGCAATGAGCTCCTAGGGGATGATGGGAATTCCTCAGAGAACCAGGTAGAATGCTAATCAGGGAGGCCCGGTGGGTGGCTGGAGGGTGAAGGAGGTCACTGGCACACTGGGCTCTCAAGCTGCTCCTTCACAGTATTAGCAGCAACTCATGTGGAAGTGATACTGTTTAATGCAAAGCTGGAGTCTTAATCAACTTCAAAATGTTTCTTGGAGATCTTACATTTAACCCTTTACCTTGGGATCACTGTCTGCTATCTTTAAAAAAAAATCTTTTCTTCTCTTTTCTTTATTATTTAGTACTTAAGGAATAACTTGAAACACACTGTTTGCAGACAAAGCCAAGGTCTTCACCTCAAACACATGTAAAAGGAATAAAAAAGTACACAATGCACCTTTGATAATAATGCAGTATAATTAAATCAACACTTGCAGCAAAACAAATGAAAGTAAGCTTTCAAAATTCAACAGGGCAGCTCAGTCTCCTATTGTGTAGCTTCTTAAAAATACATTCAATAAAATGCAAATTGTAAGTGCCAGTGTGGAACTTGGATACCCATATAGTAGTTCTGCCTCTGTCTAATAATAAGAATAGTAATAATAATAATAATAATAGGAAACATTGTTTTGCAATTTAAGATCTGCATAAACAAAAAGTAAGGTACAATTTCTTCTTGAAAGGGCCTTACAGCTTGGCTGTCAGTTCTCACTGGGTTACATAGGGGTGTCATGAGTCTATGTCCCACTTTTTTCTTTGAGTTAATACTGCAGATTTAATTAATTCATATAGATAATATATATGACTTCTAAAAAATGTTTCAGGAAACTCAGTGCAGAGATGATTTTTAAAATGTCTCAAACTACCCTAGTGACTGATTCTCTTTGAAACTTTTAAAGATTGAGAACTTCAGAAGCAAGACTTGAACATGTTTATTAATTTTACTTTGGCAAGTATTATAAAAGTCTCTACTCTGCCTAAATAAAATAAATCATTCACTGAGTAAACTAAAGTTTTACTAAGATTGTAGAACATAATAATATATTGATACATGTGATAAAAATTACATAATTTACCATTTCAGATAGATATTATAGGTCTTTTTATGCTGAAACTATATCACTATCTACTCTAATGTTAATATTATAAACAGGGGTGTTGCTCATGTGATTAAGTACCCCATCCACCCACCCCCCAAAAAAGGAAGAGTCACTGAGCTGATTATGTTTGTTTTTGGAAAGGTCTCACCTTCTCCAGTGTTTGGATGTTATCAGCTTGAGTTCAGACATGTAAACACGGTAAGATCTGACTTGGGATTTCAGCTTTCCTGATTGAGATGTGAGAATAGCTAAGGGAAAAAAAAGTATATGGAGCACATGAAACAGAAAAAGGTGGTGTGATAAAGGGGTCTTACTCATAATAGATTAAATAACGTAAGGATGAGAGAAAAATATTTTCTTCCTATATTGAGTGAGATTTAGCTTGCTCATACCTCTTGAATCAGTGAATCATAATTTTATTTCCTATCTTTACTGCAAAAAAACATTATCTTTATTTTTTACAAAAAAGTAAATGTGTAGTCCCATGTCAGTTCCTTAAAAAGTTATAGATCTTTCCCTCGTCTGAAACTACAGCCTAATGTAGAGGAAATGGAAGGGAAGAGGGTGTTCCTGTCGAACTAGATCCCTTCATTGTGATGGGCGTTGTGGTTCTGTGACAGGGCTCCCTCTGTCTCTCTCTCTTTAACCACGTTCACTTCTCTTAATGGACATGTATGTGCCTAAAACATTTGTCTTACGCACCTATAGGTATGATGTTTTTATGCCTAAAGAAAAATATTCCACAAAAAATGGATTGAGTTCATATTTTCTGAATTTTTCAAATTATATTCCTGTCACTTTCAAGTGATAACACAGAGATTTCCCATGGACTTGTATAAATCCCACTTACAATTCTGAAAGTGCTTGGAGAACCTGAAGGTTAGGCATAAGAAGCTGCCACTTCAATAGAGTATGATAAATTATAGTCATGGGTATGTAACTGTTAGATTATTACCTATGTGAAATTTTCAGTCTAAAATTTGAATTAGGCTTGAAAGTACAAAGAAACCCTTACCTCTTTGGATATTTAGTTACCAGGTGTAGAAACTTTCCATATTATAAAGAAGAAATTCAATTTTGTTTTTAGGCTCTTTGTCGTAACATAGGAATTAAAATCCCTCAAACTAAAACAACCTTAAACAGGGATGGCCACTTGAGGAAAACTCTTTATTCTGCATCAGCATTCATTCAGCTATGGAATTAAAACAGAGCCCTTTCTCTAAAGGAAGAACGGGTCTTAACTTGGCTCTTCATGTTAGCGTTTGTAGCTGAGTAGCAAAGAAGATAGTCTTTTCTGGGTAGACTTACGTGTAATTTATATAAGAAAGTATTTTCTGCCCACAAATAAGTTTATTTTCAAGTTAATTATTGGTAAATTGATTTTCAGAACTTACTGGCTTATCATAAACTTTTAATATACAAAGAAAACTTGAAGATAAACAAATTGAGACAAAAATAACAATATTTGTTTCATTGAAATTGAGATATGTCTCAATTTTTTTAAATTATAGATCAGAAAATGAAAATAACAAAGAACCCATAGCAGTGGTAACAAATAGGTAATACAAGCAAAGTACTATTTAGTTAATTTTGATGCAATATATACAACCTTCCTATAGTGGCTTTTTTTGTGGTGATTTAGACAAATGTGTATGCCATAGCTATTATTTCTCATTCTGGCCATTTATAATGTTTTTTTGTAAGGCACTGAAACCTGGCTATATATACACATAATATTATAATATTCCAATTAACTATATAGTATATTAATTTACTCTTTGATATATAAATATTTCCACCATGATTAGAAATGTCAAGATTTCAAAAATTAAGAATTGTTCAACTGCCTCTTTTATGTCCCTCATATAGTACATAATTTCATGTAATTTCAATTTAATTGCTTTGTACAAATTTATTTCTGATTCATATTTATTTCTGAATCATTTCCAATTCATAGTTCTTGATTCATGGGTATGAATCAAATATAGTTCATCCCTGATTTACAAAGAAAGGACAGAATTACCTACTTCACACGTTTGAGCACTGTTGTTGGGTCACCAGCTTTCCAAGGATTGTTGTCCTTGGCATTATCATTCTAGTCTTTTAAAATATCATATTTTCCACTCCACATTGCAACAATTTAGTTCTTGAGAGAATTGAGATTTTTATATAAAGAGATGCTATATTTTGAGTGGAAAGCTTAATAGCTGTTAAGTTGATTTAGTTTCATGAAACCCATTCTCAGAAAAGGAAAAAAAAAAACCCCACATATTGTAGAATTAAATCCCCTTCACAGTAAAGTATCATAATGGGGTGAATAAAATGTTCCAAGGAATACTTTTGAACCCTAATAGACTCTCAGTTACCATATGCAAAATTATACTGATCAGTGAATAAACGTGAGTAAATGATATTTGAGTAAATCCTAGATAGAGAGTTCAAAGAGAAATATATAAAGAGGAGGATATTTGTAAACGTGCCAAAATTTTTGTGGTAAAGCAATATTTAGCAGATAGGATTGCTTAATTTTTTTAATACGAGTTTCTCTTAAGTTCCGATTTGAGCTTGCTGTGCATAACGTGTGTCAAACTTCAGCCGCAGACCAGGGGGTGAAGTCGGTCAATTTAATTCCCCGAGATCTGAAGGAGGTCGGTATCATTTCATATAGCCCTGGCAGAGCAGATCATTACCAGGCACAAATCTGTTCGTTACGTGCTGAGGGTTTATAGCAAAATAAATAGACTGTCATCATAAGTTCAGAAAATTGTGTGTTCGACCCACGATAATGTGTAAAGGGCGTTTAATAGAGTTCAGCATTTATTCGTTATCTGTATGCGGACAGAGACGGCAGTCGCGTTATCAGCTTTAAAAAAAAAAAATCGGGAGTCGTGGGGGTCACGTGACGCACCGCCCACACAGAGGAGCGCGCGCATGGACCCTCACATGCTCAGCAGAGCAGTTTTGATTTTAGTCACAGCAGAAGGCTTAACCACAAGAGATTCCACTGGTTCAAACCAGCGTAAACCAGATTTTTTCAGCCCACAAAGGAATAGATTACCTCTTATATCACATTCTGCATTGGGGGTGGGGGGGCACCTCTTTGTTTCAAAAAAGATGTTGATTATCATAACTCAACATGGTGGCATGGCACACTTTCATGTCGCCTATGATGGAGCCAGTAGCTCGATAATATAAGAAATCACTATTTCTGTCTGGTATAAGCATTGTTAATTTTCAAATATAGACCATCTTTTGTTTACTTGAATGAAAACTCTCAGCCTTAAAAAAAAAAAAAAAAGAAGAAGATAAAGATTAAAACCCGTCCCATTACCTAGCTTAGCTACAAATCCGGCATAGAGCTTGAAGGCAGCCATGCAGCACAAACAAGATAGAACGTTTTTTGTTTGGAACCTATTGAAACAACAAATGGGTAGCATTTTAAACACTCATTGATTATGGCAGGGTGGCATGCCCCAAATGGTCTCCATCGCTGAGGAGTAGTTTTAAACTTTGGCCCTTTAAGTATCATAGTCAAGCGATGAATGGCGCCCCCAGAAAGGAAAAAGCTATGCGATCCATTCCCAAATCCTCTCTTTCTGAGAATTAGTGTTTGCCTTTTTCCCATGATGTTCGGATAGCAAAGCAAAAGATTCCGATATATGATAGGCCAGGTATTTTTTTGGTTTAAAATTCTACCTCTTCTGAAGCAGAATAGTAGCTTTCCACATAAAGTGATGGGGGGCTTTCCTCACACGCACTGGATGGTTGCTGAGCGTATTAATTAAAAATAATGACTTCTTGTATATTTTGAAAGGACGACATTAAAAGTTTAATTTTCACTGAGACATTATGTAATAGATTCTATACCCATTTTATGACATTCATAACAATTTTGAAATCTCATTCTTTTGTGCTTGAAATACTTTTCATATAACAAATGAAATAACAGAATAAGCTGGAATGCATGCTGCCTTCTTTGAATTGGAGACAAAAACAGCATTAAGCATTGAGAAATCTGGGCTACAGTAAACATGATACTTTTAGAGAGAATTATAGTGAGCAATTCATAGCACGTTTCTCCCAAAGCAATACTTTAATCTATTGGCCTGCATATGTCAAGTATTATAACAGATGTTGCAGATATTTGGATGTTTAAAATTTATCAATTGTAGACCTGAATTGCTGAGGCTGCACATTTCAGACTTAGAACGTGGTTTATAGTCTCTTCCAACCCAGGTTTCAGTTTCTGTTCATTGCATAAAGTATAGCAATCATCTCAACTATACAGTGGTATCTGTAATGTACAATACTGTCAAACATGCACATCTTCCCAACACAAAGAATGCACCAAATGGCTATATCCATTGTCTAGTTTCTAAAGAGTTAAGCAACTTGTTTTATCTATTTTTATTTAAGGCAAATAGAAAAATGTTTTACAGAAGAGAGTTAAAATGTTATCATAGGACAATTTACTAACAAGTAAAGATAGGTTTGGGGTCTGACTTTAGTGAAAACAGACAGCAGTACAAATGAAGTAAGAGAGTTCATTGCTCTGAGATGGCCCAGTTTACAGAATGAAGACAATTGAAAAATAAAGAAACATCAAAAAATTTTTAAAGGACCATATGATTGCAGTAGCCCCTTAAGCAAAACAAACATCTGGAAATTAACTCTAATATACAGTGTTTCTAAGGGTGGTGAAATATTTTCTAATACCATGTCCTAAGTATTATCTATTCTGGTGTGCTTTATTCTCAATTAAAATAATGTTATCTCCAAATGCAATTTTTTTTTACTAGAGTGGGTACAAGTATGACATTAACTAACATAATAGTTTGTTTTAAATACTTATTAGGACAAAAGCATGAACTATTAATCATTTTCATTTGTAGGTAAAATCTGAAATCAGCTGTCAAGATTCAAAATCTAGAAACATCCTGAAAACTTGTATATACAAAACCTTTTCAGTGGTACATTCTTAGAAGAGAGGAACAGTAAACTTGTTTTCTTTCTTTATAATATAGACTTCTATGAAGTCGTTCCCCTTTATTTCATGATGGTGTCTTAGATGTACTTTAAAAGAGAATTTCACACTATTCTCTTTGTTTAATGTGACAGTGTGAGAAAGTGATCTTTATTCGTTCAAAAACTCTGCATGTAGTCTATGTTTAGGTTCTTTTAATGTGTTTGTCTGTGATTTTTAAATGCTAAACATGTAAACAGATAAATTGTCAATGTTAATTCTGTATCCTGTCACACAACTGATCTTTCTTTCCTGCCATTTCTTTCCTTTTTATCTTTTTTTGTGCATTCATGTTGCAGTTGATAAAATTACGTGAAGAGGTGAGTACTTTCTAGCTTGCTTTTTTTTAAATTTTGTTTTTCCCTATAAAATTGAGTTTCTAAATCTGAATTAAGATCTTTGGGTTCATTTTTCCAGGAAAATCTGCACATACCCAAAGTACTGATTATATTGCTAGAAATATTCTCTGCTGATTATCTTTAACAAACAAGTATATCCAAAACATGTTTGTCTCAGTGATCATTGTTATTTGTTGGCATCAGGTGGAAAGTTCACATTTTAAAAGCCCAAAAAGGAGGAAAAACAAAGGAATATCTTAAAACTATGCTCAAGTATAATTTTAGTGAAAACTAACTTCAGACTTGTTTTATTTGTAATGGTTTCACAAAGTAGTCAATATGAATAATTTTTTTCTGTCAATCTGATTTACTTCACTGAAACTGTCTTTAAATAAACTTCTTTCCCTTACCCAAAATTCAACATAAGATACCATGAATCTATTATCCTTTTGGGGAAATAACACATACGTTATAAATGCCCTACTAGTCTGTGTACACAGATGCCTGAGAATAGCCAAAGCTCTCGTCATTGTTAAACACTTTCCTTTCTGTAGGAAATAGCACCCAAGTGAGTTCTCATTTTTCTGAGTTTGCTAACCTGTTTCATAACGCAGCTTCAGACATTTATGTGGCCTAGCAAACACTTATAGCAATGTTAATAATTTTATCCGCATATCAATGAGAAATAGTGGGTGATTCTGTATTTTTTTTTAATTAGGCCAAACTCATCAAACATGCTTTGGTACTCTTTTCAGTGATAGTTTTATTTTTTACTTAGTGCAGTTTTGTTATTTTTATATCAGGACATAAAATAATGGCTCATATTGCAATTTAAAAATTGCCCAGTTGCTTATAATAATCAGAGTGCTATAAATTATTTCTGAGTTTAGATTGACTGCATTGATGGAAATTTTTCTAGAAGTTTTTTATTGGTTTGTCATCATTCTCTAGGGGATAGAAATGTTAATTTAGAGGCTTGTAGATCGTGGTCTTCAACAACTCTTAACTGAAGATGTATGAGTGATATCTTCTCTTAGAAAAAGCAATAATGATATATAAAATGAAGCCTGAGAACACACAAAACCCACACCCTCTAACCTTTTTGTTTGTTTGTTTCTTCGTTTGTTTACCTTCTCTACATGGAAGCAGATGTGTACACTAAATGAATATTATCAATTGCAGTTCTGATATATAAGATTATTCCTGAGGAGGGGGTGATGCATCCATGGTTTTTTCTTTTCCTTTTTTGCAAGACAGAATATCTGCTTGTATGTATTTGCCTATTTTCATGCTTAGATGAAGAATTGAATTTTCAAATGTTATTGGAACTAACAACAGATTTGAAAAACCTCTATATGAAGAAACTACATGAAGCTCTGGCCCCTGAATTTAGCAATGAATATAATTAATAAAGGCGTGTGCTTTATTACAATTGGCGTTTTTGATAGAAGACATTTTGTTGTTGTTAAGCTGAATTGTGTGGATTTAGCAATCTTAATTCTAAAAGCTGCAAACATAACATCTGCACTTCTTTCCAAATATGTTTTATCATTATTTTATGGCTTAACTTTTTTTGTGCTGCCGATAGCAACAGTTTCATCAGTTATGCTTCTGGAATGCACATTTCCAAAACTGTAACCTGTAATGGAATTGTACTTGGAAGAATTATATCACTCAACTAATGGAATAATATACTCTGAAACAGTCTTTCAACAATCTTTGAAATGGATGTAGCATTGATGTTTATAGAAGTAGATTATGGCGATGACAGTGCATTGGTACATGGTTTGCTCAGAAGTGATTGTTTCTCAGCCAGGATTCTAATAGGAAACAAACTAAATGTACCCTAGGTTTCTTTCTTGTACCTATCCTAAGAAAACAGGCATTCATCTCCTCCAAAAGAGGACATTTTGTTGCGTTTAGAAACAAAATACGCCCCATCCTTTCTTTGTGATGCTCTTTTCCAGCTCAGTTCTGTGGACTGGGCGTGCTTGGAGGCAGGATGGCAGTGCACTGGGAGCTGACCTGGTGTTGGCGGTGCCTGACTGTCTATTTCAGTGTGCGTCTCCAGCCCTCCGTGTTGCACAGCTCCTTACACAAGTTGAGCTCTATCTGAGCTCCTGCACAGCTTTACTTACCTGCTTTGAAAAGGGCTGAGAAGAGGGTGAGAGAATGAGTTTGGGATGGAGTGTGGGGGCAAGTTGAAAGCATCAGCTGCTACTGTAGTATGTTTCCTTTCATTTCCAGAGACCAGGGCAGAGCACAACCAAGCGAACAATGTAAATAGCACAGCTGTTACAAGAACTTGTTTTTAGCTTGAGTTAAGTAAAGGGGCTCCAAAATACAAAGTGAGGTCCTGCTGCAGAGCTGCGGGTAAACTGAGAGTCCTCTGTGTGCGCATTTTATCTGGTAAAACAGAACTGTCCTGAAGAGGACTTACTTCTATTGTTTAGGAATAGTCTTTTTTTTTTTTTTAAGTTCTTTTAGAAATTCACTCCCCACCATAGCCATACACAGAATAATCTAATTTGGCTCCCTTTTATGGAATCTCAGAAATCATTCCACACTTAAATGCTTTGTTTCCTACATTATATATAATCATGTAATTAGACTGTCAATTTCCAGTATTGATCTTGGACTTTTTAAAAATCTACAGTAGCTAAACGTTTTCTTTTAATTTAGGGATTTCACCCAATATTAAAGTGAACTAAAAATCTTTGTTTTGTTACTCTGGATTAAAATTCAGATTACTCTTGATTTCACAAATCTGATATTTTTTTTAGAGAATCACCAACTTGAAATTGTCCTTTGTTTAGGGAGAAAACAATCTTCAGAGAAGGGAAGAGTCACTCCATTCCCCAAAACCTGCATGTAGTGAGAATTAGGAGTGAGAAAAAGCTATTTTGACAAGCTAAGTAAAATGTTTAATTTTATTTAAAAATAATCATTAATGCCAAGCACACAGAGCTCTTCTTGCTTTTCTTTTTCTCAATTACAGCCTTTAGTGATTTTGCGGTTCCATAATATAAGCTTTCCTTCCTTCCTTCCTCCCTCCCTTTTATTTATTTAGTTTAGTTTTTTGTGGGTTTTTTTTTGCAGAGGGAGGGGCAGTTTTCCTTCATTTCTCCACTGTATATTAGACGACTCTATTAATTATTATAGACTGTTGTTGCAGCTTTCCTGACCTTCACATCAGGTCCTATCTCTCTGTTCTAAATGCATTGTTTTAATGATTCTTACCCCCCTTCCTTCACCCTTCCCCCCAAAAAAAAATTTCAAGGAAAGCTTTGATGTGGCTTTAGCTGCCTCCAACGTCTGGCCGCATCTCAGATGTGTCACCTATGCCGGGAGGGAATAAGGAAATCACGTTTTGAATGGTAATGATAACATACTAATCACTTCCTTTCTTTGAAGATGGAAGCGAGATATTCTGTCAGCATCCCTGGCTGCTAGAGCTTGGAGGCACTGGTCTAGGTGTATTAGCTTAAGTGTGCATGTCAATACAGCTTGCATCTCCAAGATCCGTGGGGGCTCATTAGAGCAAGGTAGATCGTTTCACTCGACAGCCACTCAGATAATATGTATGGCACCTCCTTTTTTTATTATTATTAGGAAGCATTTCTTCTATTTTAAATGACATCTGTCAACAACACAAAGTTGTAGGAGTTGTGGTTGCAATATTTCTTTCTTTTTGACCAAACACCAAAACTGATTTGAGGGGATAAGCTACTAATTGATATAAATACATGTATACACACAAATATACACACATACATATTCATATATTTTTAAGTATCCAGACATACATGCCTCTACACGCACATTCACATACTCATGAACATATTCTTACCCATTCACAGCGACGATTAGCTTACAAATCTGTTTATCAAGCTGAATAGATCTAGTATAGAATCACGGTTTAAAAAAAAAATACCCTCAGTGTAGAAAGTTTAGAAGCTGAGGATTTAGGGAAGATCCTCTACTTGCCCAATCAGCTATAATAGAAAAGAGTGCATGTAATTATTATATTAATAGTTCACAGTCTAAAGCACTATGTGTCAAAAGTTCACCTTCAATCTAGTTCTTGGATTCACAATTTTGTACATCTTTGTGCATGGAGAAACACATATCTCTTGTTTCTTGGTGTTGCCCCGAGTTGTCTTAAACTAGAACTGCCATTTAGTATTCTGTTTTAGTAGCCTATGTTGTTCTATATGGCATCTTGCTGCACCTCCAAAATAGCGGGACATTCTCTTAAAAATAAAGTTCCTGTCCAAAAATTACAGTCTGCAGAAGTTAGAGGAACAAATGAGTGTTTTAAATGATTGCATTTTATACAAAATAAATAGAAAATAAGAGTCATAGATCTATGCAAATACCTCATGCATTTGCCTCTTCTGAAAGAAGAAAGATCCAGTTAGCTCTGGTCTTAGTACATTTTTCTGTGTTTTGGACTAAGATTTATTGTGGCCACATACAACACAAGCCTGTCTTTTAAAACAAACAAAAAGAAATGGATGGTCCATACACAACTGATTGATTGGAAATCTGTTCATTGGAGTGGATCTTATAATGGAAGATTTGCTAAAAATTATTTCTAATGGGCTTTGGCTGCCCCCCCCCCCCACAAATGTTAGGGCATACAAAAGCATTATTTTTTAAAAGGCAAAAAAAGAACATTGTAGACAGCCGTCTGATTTTTTCCCCTTTTTATTTTTCAGAGGGCACATCTGCTCGATAACACAGAGAGGCTGGAAAGGTCATCTCGGAGACTAGAGGCTGGATACCAAATAGCAGTGGAAACCGGTAAGAATTCTGAGAGTGAGCAAATTGTCTTGCTTATGCACAGCAGTCTTCACAACACATGACATTTCAGGGTAACTTCAAAGGAGTAGCAGAGACAGCAGCCCGAGATGTGGTTTACATATTGGGGAGACAATTGGGAGCTTATTTGTGCTTATCTTTTTTCAAGTTAAAAGGCATGACATCTACTGAAAACAGTTCCTGAGGTTTAAAAGTATATATCTGAAAAGCGATGGAATACTTTGTCTAAATTCTACATTTGTCTTAATATGCAGTTACATGTTGTCAGTTTACCCACCCGCAATGATTGCTAGCATACAGTGCAGTCTCCAGTTGTTTGCTTCGTTACATTTATTCACATGTGTAAAAATTAACATTTTAATCAGTCCAGATGATGTGGACTAGGGGCAAAGAAGTAAAAATCCCTAGTATACCTTGCTTATTTATCCTGGTGTTGGAAATGATCTCTAATAATCCTGTGTGTATGTGTTGTTTTTTTTTAAATCATGAACAGAGTCTATAATCAGATATTAAGAAAAAAAGTCACTCTAAGCAGCAAGGCTAATATTCATGATAATCTTATTAGCATTAGTTAATAATGTTCAAACTTTTGGTCTGAATTAACACTAGTTATTATTTTCAGAAAACACAACCCTAATTTGGCTTCTAAGACTCATCTACTTAAAATAGACAAGCTTTTTAATTATAAAATGTTTTAGGCAATGACTATTTGTTTTACATAGTAAATAAATATCCATTAACCCCTTTGTAGTTATGAGCTTTTTGTTGCTTAGCTTTCTTTTTTGTTTTGTTTTGCAAAGTATAATTATATACAATCTGTTTAACATATTTTCAGATAGTTCTTGCTCAGTATATAAACCACCAAAATATATACTTAACATTTCCATCATTTTAAAAAAAATTTAGGTCCCAAAAATGTTTATTTTTGAAGAGCAGGTATAATAAAAATGATTACAAATAATTTCTTTTGTGAATGGCCAGTGTTTTTTCTTGTCCCCGGTGCATGACTGTTTTATATTGGCTGACTTATGGGAGTAATTCTAAGAAATTGAATAGGAAGAACACAAATGGCATTGATATTATAGTAATGATGAGAAAACTAAAGGAAACCATAAACCTTACAGATTTTTTTGTAGTATAGGCAGCGCTTCTTTCTGAGGTTATTGATAGATTGGCTTTCAGCCCTGATTGGAATAAAAGCCAACTTTTGTTTGTTCTTTTTGCCCTTGGGCTCACCTTTAGAAGTGACTGTCCCTGTGAAGAATATGGATAAAGCAAAGAGCCCTGAACTTGAGGTCAAAGGACCAGGCTTGGGTTCTAGCTCTTTTCGTGTGACCTTGAGCAAATCACATAACCTCTTAGAGTCTCAGTGTGTTTTTCAACAAAATGGAAATAATATTGCCTGTCTCACAAAATAATGTTTTATATGCTATAAAACATTATGTAAATATAAATATTATTAATGGATTGGTCATTTGATTATCTTTATCTTATAGAAAAAATTTTTCACTGTGATTAAAATTTGTATAGATTAAAGAAATTTTTAAAAAGTGTTATTGTGACATCCTTGGGGAACGTAACACTATACCTATTGAACATTATCATTATCAAGGAACCTTCTTTAATAAAGCAACCCATTGACGAGCCTCTTTACACATGGGACTAGGTTGGGTTGAGTATATTCTTACTGTGACACTATCTCTGATTGGGCTGCCTTTTCTCTTTCTTTACATCATTCATGTCATTCCCTCCTGAAGCTGAAGGAAGTCATCAAAGATGTTCATAGATACTGGAGAGTCATGTATTGATCAAAGTTATAAGATTGAGTGGGATTTGATGGTTATTCTTTTTGCGCATATTCTTTTTGCACATGCTAAAATGTAATACCCACATCAAATTGTCAATACAGACAACCTGGAAAATGTTAAGAGTGATTTCCCAAAAATCAGCCTCAGTCTTCTTGGACTTTTTAATGGGAGATGAACTATAAAGCTTTATAAAATTAGATAGTTGTATGTCATATAAGACTTGGGAACTTCTTACAGGGTGCAAAACCAAGTCCGCAAAGTAAGGCTGAGCTTTGTGGAGGAAAAGGCAGATGTGACACATACACAGCCCCCACCAGACAGGAGTCATCCCCATAGTTCCTGGATGAGTTTGAAAGTGGGTTGAGAAATGAGAAAGAAGGCAGAACGTATTTAGGAGGAAAAAACTCAGCCTAGTCGCAGCTACTCAGTCAGCAGCTCTGCATTTGGGTTATGATATAAATTTGTGATACTAATCACCTCGTTATAGTAGAAGAAGAATAGAATCTTTCAAAAGGAAAAAGTTTCAGTAGTTGGTTTCTTTTTCTTAAAGACAATGAAATGCAAGAAGGATAAAATGTGGAAGAGTTAGTAGAGAAATGGATGCCAAGTTTTGGTCTGAAAACGAGTTCTAGACACAGTAAGTTTTCACTAGTCCACAGCAAAATGAGATTTTTAAAAAGGTAGAAAATAGTGACTTTCTGATAAAGCAAGTTTTATTAATTTAAAGGACTAACTTTTGCAAGATTGTGTTTGTTATATTTTGGGGTGATAATGGAAAGGAGAGTTTTATGATAAGAGAGAAATAGTAGATAGGAGTTTTGTTGTTGTGTTTTTTTTTTTCTCTACCTGGAAAAATAACAAAATTGGCCATCCTAATTTGGGCCTCTTGGAGCATTTTTTTGAAACTGTATTTGTCCACAAATCTATGAACTATTTAAGAAAGATAGAACAACCCCATTACCTGACCATAACATTAATCAGCCATATAACTTTGAGAAATCACTCAACCTACCTGGACATGTTCTTTTATTTGCAAAATTTAATCCTGGCGGCAGATGCTATATATCCCATATAGTTCTTACAAAGTAAAATGAGGTCATATGTATTCAAGTGTTTAGAAAATAAAGAGGGTTCTGTAAAAGTCATCATTTTTATATATTACCATGAGCCAAAAGTGGTTATTTGTCAAAATTATTGACAAAATATTTCAACAAAAATATGTAAACTTTTTTGTTCATTAAATTGATGACAGTTATTGGCAAATATCATAAAAGAAAGTTTGATTAGTATATAAAGTCAATTATATGTAGAGTAAAACAGAAAGCAGTTTACTTTGGCCATGAGTATCTTCCAAGTAAATAATAAAATTCATCTAAAATTGTTGAATCATTTCTGACATTTTTAAAAGTTGTTTTGTCAAATTGGCAGTTATTGTGTCCTTAAGAACAGCTCTTCAGCAGAGCTATGCATGTCTAGAATACACTTGGTCTAAGCAAAAAGTACAGGATCATCTTTAAGTGCCATTTACACCTTGATATATACTGAATTTAATACCAATCAATCAAATTTCTTTCCTGGATTTCTTCCTATTTGACGAAATTGATGAAGTTACAAGTTAATTGAACAGTTCCATTTAGAAAATAAGAGACACATGAAAAGATATATGACAAACTAAAGAGCTGATGCTAGGACATTTCGATGGCTGACATCAAGTGGGACAGTTATCAGACTCATTAACAAAACTTTCTTGGGCATGACCATCAAAGGCCAAATACTGTGTTGATTGTATGAGTCATTAGCTTAAATGAATTTGGCATTTCTTACTAAGTTCTTGGCCTAGAATCTGTGACTAAAAAGGGACTCTTCTTTTTACTTGTTATTACTAATAATTATGACACTTAGCTGTGTGGAGATACCTATTTTGTTTGAGGTCAGGAACTTGATATTTAAAACTCTGGGTCATTTGCCTTTTAGTCTGTAATTATGACTATTTTTCTATGACGTAAAAATCCCAGACTGACAGTAGGAACAGAACTCATGGAAGCTGTATGATTAACCAAAGATAGAGGCTAAAAGCGAAAGCAAGGGCAGAAGCGTGAGGCTCACTCTCTCCTCTAGTGTATAAACAGGTAATTTAAGACCCTCACGATTGTCCTACCCTATCACCCAAAGTGGGCCCAGTGCACCCAGCAGTACATCTCCGGAACCATGAGGGCCTTTGTCTGCAGTCAGTGGGCTCATATCTTGAAATAGTGATCTGCACCATATACTAACCTTGCTCCTACCATCCCCAAATACTCAAGCTTTATGACTCGGCACCCCTTCTCTCAAAAGTCACCTTAGGCCACCCAGCTCTGATGTGCCATTTGCTCATTGATCTCTACAACAAGGCGCTCTGCTTCTGTCACCCTTCCTACCATGAAAAAGAGGTGCTCCATCCTTCACCCGGGTCCCTGGAGATTCCCAGCAATGGACTAGTGATCAGACATATGTAGAAATAATACAATGCTTGTTGAACCATTCATAGGGGCCACACACTGTTCTCTGAACTCTACATTCCCTATCTCTGTATTCCTCACCACAACCCTGGGCTTGAATTACTTGTTTCTCATTTTATGGATGGGGAAACAAGGTGCAGAGATATTAATTTCCCCACACTTATAATCAGGCTAGGAGATAGTACAGCCAGACCATCTGATTCCATGTTCTTAACCATCAGACTACACTGAAAAATGAATGGGTCCCCCATACCTAGATTTTCCAAAGTCATCGATTGTAGTCAAAATATGTCAGGCTCTTATATCTATTAATCTCCTTTTCATGTCATTTGTTCAAACACTAACCATTGAATACTGTATGCCATGTTCTGACAATACAATAGTAAATAAGGCAGACATGGGTGCCTGTTTCTCAGGCAGCTTATATATGAGGGTGGCACAGAGGGTGCAGGATGAGACATTTGAAAAAATTAATAAATAGGTGGACTAGATCATTTCAGATAATGGTAAAGTGAAACACAGTATTAAAGACTAACCGATGAAGGTTATCTTAGGTTGGCCAGTCAGGAAAGACTTCCCAGCGAGGTAACTTACAAACCAAGTCTTGAGTATTGCAAACATGCCCTAAATGAGCAAATTTTGGACAGGTGATTCCAGAAGGGAAGAACAAGAACAT